CGGCACGACGATCCTTGATTCCATGCGTTCGAAACGTGTTGGTCGTTACGCTCAAAAACTAAGACATAAGAAAATGGCAACTGAGAATGCTTAACTACTATGATGTGAACTCACTTGAGGAACTTTGCAATAAGTCCGAGCGCATAGCTAGTATCCTTATTCTCCTTAGCCAATGTGAAATAACAGTGATTAGGACAATCTTTTGCCCACCTCTTTCGCTTCCTAGATTATGCAAATACAAAAAAGCCGAAAGAAATGTATCTAACGGATCATACATACCTTGTCCTACTATTTACTCCACAGTAACTGATCTCGATGCCCTTCTCGCTCGTTTCTGAGCCTAACTTCCCCTGATATCGCATTCGTACAAAGTCGTGGATTGCTTTTCTATCATCTTTACTCAAACCCTGAAAGGAATGAACAAAATTAAAAGACATTAGGCAAGATACTCCGTGATAAACAGAGGTTACGAAACTGCAAGACTGGAATGCCGGCCGCATGTTAGCACTTTCAAAACAACACCAAGTGCATCTCAAGATGTTCAGTCATTGCAAAATCAAAAAAGCGTAACCAATTTACAAAGATAAATGAGTTACTGCGAATACACTCCCACAAAAAGTGTGTTGGTAGCTATTTTATAAAAGTCTGAACCATTTTGGAAAGCATTTAACGCTCTTTCAAATGACTCATTTGTATGCCGAATAATGAAAGCCTTTGAAGACGAAAACTCAACGGGTCTTAAAATCAATAGTTATGGTCTCCCAGACATAGCAGTTTTGAGTGTTAATGCATCTAAAGAGGGTCTGCAAAAAGTGTCCTGTTATCCGAGCTAGCTCACTGGCAGTTGCGAACGATTTTGTTCCAAATCAAGTACGATTCTGGTTCAAAAATGCTCATGATTAGGCATTCAGAGAATCACTGCAGTCAAAGGAGGCAGATTTGGAGTAGGCACTTAGTGCTCTCAAATATAGGATAGTACTCGAAAAAGGCCACACCAAATACACAACCCTTTCAATATCCGAGAATTTCTCTAGATTATGTGCAGAGAAAATAGAAAAAGAGCAATGTAAGTGAACGTACTTCAACGGGTATCAAATAGGGCTTTGAGTTCTTGTCCAAAGCATCGAGCGCTGTCACTTGCTCAGCGCTCAAGCTACTGGGCACATCAACAGCTTCATCAACGCCTTTCTCTTCTTCCTCCTTCACGTAACTGCGAACTTCTGACGCAGTGGCTAAGCGAAGGACAGTTTCGTCTTCTGAAAAGATGATGTGATGGTGGAGAGGATGCGTGCGGAGTAAAACACAAACCTAAAATTTCCTGTACAATGAAGTCCGAATATAGTTCTTTCATGACACATGGTACACTGATACTACGGTCACCAAGATATTGGGTTATACCATAGTCGACTTCCATATCTGCAAAATTGTAGTAATGCAGTGATTATGAAGAAAGCACGCGAGCTTTCTCATCTAATCAAACCATTGTGAAATCACGGTTTCCATAACGTAAACCGTGAATTCACAAGGAATAGCATAGTTCAGAGCACGATTGAGCAAAAGATGAGAACCAAATCAAAATGGATATATTCCATGCTCCACATACTTGCAACACAAAACCTCATTATGAGCGCAAACTAAAATCAAATCAAATAGTACGATCACCATCGAGGAGGACCGAAAATACTGATCCAAGAATTAATGAAATTCGAAAAATTAAATTGTGTGACTGAGCTGCTCCAATCGCGTATTAGTAAAATCCAGGCAAATTGCCAATTCGACTGGAGCACTCTAGCTACTATACGCTGTAATCAACTTTATTTATGATTTTAGTAGAGTTTTATGCATGAGTATGAGTTTTAGTCTATGAGTAAGCAGTTAGTTATCGGCAAATATATTAAGATGGTCTTTATGCGAAACTTTTTGCATTTTGTCATGAGTTGTTGTTGATTTTCAACTTTAGAATTCCGATAATTTATCTACTTTCGGTTCAATCATGAAAGTTACACAAGACCAGTGGAAACACTATACGCTTATATGCATATATGAATGCATGTGCATCTTTTCGCGAAGATTCTCATTCTCAAAAAATTAAGTCAAAAAATTTTTAGAAGGCATGTAAAGTTTGAAAGAATAAGGAACACGATTGATTAGCCTTGACTACATGAAAAGTCAAATTAGCAACATCACTAGTTCCGCAATAGAGAGGGAGCCTTTTGGTTTCCTCCTAATGAACGTTTGAGAGGCGGCAAAACGTCCATGAGGGGTATGGGGAATGAACCCCAGCCCTCTCCCTGCTAAGGGAGCGCTCTACCACTGAGCTATACCCCCACATCACGTATGTCACCCAGAATAGCCTATGAAGCCGCCTTCGCTAACTTGTTCTGTGAAGTGACTATTGACACAATAGATAGATTCATAAATTGTCGCATATTTATTTAGATGACACAGCGAACAATAATGACATGAAACGAGCTACGATTGCTTAGGAGATTGACTCGGAGTGCTTGAAAACAACTGTTGAACATCACTGGGTAAAAGATTTACAAGAACCGAATCCATAAGTTCGAAACAACGATCCAAATTCGAATTCATTTCGCGATCAACACTTCGGCGAATGTAGAGGAAAACGATGACGTTGATGATCAGAATAACGCAGTTGAATAGAAACGGTACGATTAGGAACAGAATTGCTGCCGCGATGTTGTTGTATTGATCTGTGTTACAGGCTCTGTGATCCATTCAGAGGAGACAGAGATGGTAGGAATACAGCTGTTCCTCGGATAGAAGCTTATAAAATGAGAATTATTCCCATCTTTGGTGTATGATAAGCAAGCTTTCACTCAGCAAAAAATTCATATGCGTAAATGATAGCACCCTTAAAGGCAGTGTCCGGGCAAAAACTCGATTTTGAG